TATCGCCCGCCGGGCGAAAATAAAAGTGTGTAAGTCAAATTTACACCAACAGTTAGTTTTTGAAAAATAAAATGTGCTGCCATCCATATGTGGCTATCGTTTTTATAGACTGAGGCTTCCATATGTTTATCTTCAAAACATTATTATACGTGCTCGCAGACTAAAATTTGTTATTATAGTTAGAAAAAAATAATTAATCATAGATGCAAATGACATTTAGGCAACAGCTGATTGGATTTGTAATTGAATGGGTTGGCGTGAAAACGTAAATAATGATTTGAACAATAAAATAGTGGAATATTATTCATTTTTATCAGAAATGCAAGAAAATATGTTGAGAGAACCATCAGTAGAAAAAATAGACACAATTAACTATAGTTCGTACAATAATTGGAAAATATAAAAACATAATCAGAGTTACTCATATTATAATTACTGAGGTTCAACAAATAGAAAATTAATAGCAAAAACGAAATTAATTTGATGAATTATTTTTTGTTGAATCGTAAATATTTCTGTAAAATTAACAGCGAAGGTATACAGGGTAGGGTGTATCTAAATAACACCGAAACAATTCAAGGGATGATTTCTTGTGATATTTCAGGAAATATTTTCCCACATAAACATGTATCCTACCTTGCTTCGTTTTCTAAATACAGGGTATTAATATTTCCATGAAAAATCTTTTTGCTATTTATTTCTCAATTGTCTTCCTATCAATTTTAATAGAACGTTGTGGTTTTGTAAATAGTAATATGGAGCTTTTTCTAGTGCAATTAAATTCGAAATAATATTTCCAGTGGCGTCACAGTGAGTAAATTGATCGATATTCATGGTGAATGTCATTGTACACCACCGGTTTTTTTGAGTTTCATATTTTTTTCAGATTGAACTATTGAAATAGCAACTTTTTTTATCCTCTGTGTGATTTTGTATCTTGCTTAATTTTTGAGGAAAAAATAAAAATTCGATTTGACTCCAAATTTTAATGTAGGTGTTTTCAAGACTTCCATTGAGATTACTCAATAACCCCAATTATAATCATTTTGAAATTTTGGGACTTTCTCAGTCTCCATCCATACTGAATTTTGGCACCATGAAAGCTCATTGATGTAAATAAAAACAATTAATACTTCCAACTTCCTGTATCTCAAAAACAGAGCAAGTTAGGACACATTTTTATATGAACTTTATACGCTAGAATGTCACAAGGAAACACTTCTTGATTTTTTCAAATTAATCGCTGAAAGTAGGCTTATTTGTTCGAATATCGAAAAAATTCACTTGAGAAAGTTGTTTCTTATTGAATTTCACATATGTGACTCGGATTTTATCTTTCTATTACATTTTTTAGATTTCGATATTTTTTGAAAATTTTCGAAATATCTGTAATATTAAAAAAATTATAAATTCGATAAAGCAACTTCATACCAGTAGTTTCATCATGCTCCTAGCTTTCAATTACTAATTATCACTAATTATCGACAAAAATATGATTTTCTTCAGAAAATGATAATCTCCGCTTCAAAATTCTGTTATGTTTGATGCAAACATAACATCAGAATTCTGTTATGTTTGAGTCAAGCATTAAGAAACGAAATTCATTTAATTTTTATTCTCAGTACCTACTGAAAAGATCAGTTTAAATGAATTTCGTTTCTAAATGCTTGACGATATATCAACTTTGCATCAAACATAACAGAATTTGTAAGCGGGTATTATCATTTTCTGAAGAAAATCATATTTCTGTCCATAATCAGTTATAATGAGTAATTGAAAGTAAGTAGCATGAAAAAGCTACTGGTATGAAGTAGTTTCGTGGAATCAACAATTCTTCAAATATTACAGAAATTTCGAAAAATTAACAAAAAAATCAAAATCTAAAAGTTGCACTAGAAAGATCAAATCCGAGAAGAATGTGTAAAATTGGAATAGAAACAACTTTTTCAAGTGAACTCTTTCGATATTCGAACAAATAAGCCTACATTCAGCGATTAATTTGAAACAATTTCACTTTTGACATGTAGCGAAAGTCACGTGACCCCGATTGAGTAGCCCATTTTTCATCTTTTTTGGAGCAAAACTTAACGTTCACCTCGAATTCCAAAATAAGTCATTAATTAAAGTTTTTCCCATATGATGCCG